GTGCTTTCTTTACTTGTGCTTATATCGTGAGATGCTATGATTATTAATCAAACTTCAAAGTATGGTTAAATGGCAGCAAGTGCTTTCTAGGAACATGATTTTTGTTTAAGCAACATGGGCGGCAGGCATACTCTGAAAAAATGGTCTGCCCTGTTTCATGTAAAAACATGAGAGCCGTATTTGAAGTGGTAAATAGCAATACTTGACAACTAGATGGTCACAAGACGATACAGGTTGAACGCCGGTGTTCTTGCCCCACGATCTAGTGCGACACTAAGGCGCGCGCAATTACCGCATCAGAAACGAACCTGTTGGCGTGGTATATACTCACGTTACAAGCATGTTGAACTACATCCCCCGAGGGTCATCATAGGACTTTGAAAGAAATGGACGTGCAGTCACACCATCTTACCATCACCATCTTATTGAAACAACTAATACTGTTGAACTGACATTTTCGAAGTTGGCATTGTCTTATTACTGTTGCTGTTGATTTCGGTAAGTGCCCTTAAAATAAATCTCTTTTTATGCAGTTAAAAACAGCCATGGAATGAGTGCTTCGTGGAACGTGGCTGCTGCCATGTCCTATAATGTACTGATGTGTTAAAGTTTAACAGAAAGTCAGTCTGCCCATGAGAACAGCTGCTATCAACTTTTGTTTTAAAAATATTTTGTATTAGCCTCAAACTGGCTATTAATTGAGACAATTTGGGAGTGAAAACAATTTTCTCCTATAAGATAAATGTATCAAGGGAAAAAAACTATTATTTAAGACTGAAAATCTGATAAAAGCCATTTGGACATTGAAAAGCCCATCCATGCCTTACATCAATAACTACATTGAGGTTAAAGTTAAAAGTCTAACACACTTTAACTATAGCTGCTAACTATGTTATTTTGGAGCCTTAAACATGTTGCTTGACTGTAAAACTTAGACCACAGCAATAGGGAATGGCAACCTGATAACAGTTGCTGTAAACAGTTTACTGCTATCACCGAATGGCTATTCACTTGTGTTTTAAAAGTATTTTTGTATTAATGCCTCAAACTGGGTATTTAATGCAGACAATTGAGAGGCGTGAAAACATTTCACCTCTAAAATGAAACGGTAGAATAAGGTTTAAAGTCAAAATTTCAGACCTTAGCAAATTGTACTTAAATTGTAGTGTTCCATAGTACATTGCAGTAATCTTTAGGCTACTTAAAGTACTTTGAGTTAATTTACTTGATTTTATGCTTCTGCTTTTCATATTGGTGGGATGCAATGTCAACACAAAATATGGGTTATATTTGAATGATATAGATGTCTATTGACTGGCTTTTGTGGCCCTTTTTTTTATAGGTCTCAGTGCGACGCTCTCGTCAGTAGGATGTATGCCTCACTCGTCTCTGTTCACTATCGCTCTTCTATTTGATTCAACATATCCAGCTGCCATCGGGGTAAAATCCTGTTCTCCATGGGATGGAAGCCATTGGCGTAACATGAATACGTACTTCCGTAGAGGCAACTACATGCCAAAGCCACGAGCGTCACTGTGCGTTCGGCGCTCCGATAGCTTGCGCTACATCACTGAAAGACTCTCCGTCTCTAACACCAGTGTCACTGTCCCAGCAAACTTGGTGGATTATAATCAAAACACTTTGCAAGGCCTTTTTTGTTTTCGACACCTTGAAATGGCCGGTTTAAGGGTAGGCCATTCATCTTCTGTTATACAACCTGGATCGTATTAGGATTGGAGCGGCAGTCTGTGCGAATCAGTTTCTCAGCGTTCATAATGGCGTTGAGCACTGATAAGATGGTTGGCGGGATAAAAACTGATGCAGTCCGTTCAAGCGAAACACAAATTTGATTTGTATTGACATACAAAACGGCATCCCGGCTGGAGAACAATGCTTTGGGCGTTGGTTCAACTTCCTCTTGGTTTTTAACGTCAGCATGGACCCATTCAAGCGAGAAGAACACTCTCCTTATATGCCCCTTCACCTTTGTCTTATGTTCCTTTTCACTGCAACAGAGCCTAACAGATAAGATTGCAGTTCCCTCAAAGAATTAAGAATATGCTTAAGTTATTAATTTTGGAATGCCCTACACCATGTCACAAGTCACAGACCTCATTACCAAATCCATTAGTTGAGAAGTATTTGGCCCTGATGTGGATTTACTCTATACATTTCCTGGATGCAGGACATATGGTGCTTATGAGGAATGATTTGTCATTTATTTTTCCACTGTTCCAAACAATCCAAATGTAGTACTATCATGGCTTGATTTTCAGCTGCAAGGACCTCAATAATCCGGCTCACTGTAGACCTGGAGGACCTTTGTCCAAGCTCTGAGAAAACCATGGGGTATTGATTGATGACCCTTAGCAACTTTTGCTCTCAAATCTTCCTCAAGAATGTCGCTGAGGATATTGCGCGCCTTTGCCCAGCTGTCCTTCAAAAAGTCTATATATGGCGGTATTGGGACAAAGGCCTGCTAATCTCGGTAACAAACACATTAGATGGCGCGACTGGATGCCACAGGAATGACCTTTTCCATCCCAAAACTTAGAGTCTTTGTTGGACCCACGGAGGCACTTAATTTCAGCGTTCTTGTATCGTTTTTTTTGATTTACCACGAGATCTTTAGTGGACTTCCCTTTAAGCTTTGGATACAGCCTGATAACCTCAACCGATCTCGAGCAAAAGGGGGGAGCTGTGATTATGGATTATCGCCGGCTGACAGACACAACTTTCAGATGCTCTAAAGACAACATATTCGATCCCTCTTACAGGGTTATTGAACTATGCAGAGGCTGTCAGGTTTCTTGTTCATAGAGATCAGCCCGTGAAACACTGGGCACTTAGCAGTGTGTTGGATAGAGTAACGTCATTCAGGCATAAAGGAGCCCGTCACCATGCAACACATCACTCGTACAATAATTGTCCCTGGTTTGTACAACTCTTATTGATTTGAGGCTGCTTTGTTGGCAGTTGTTTTACTTTTGCTTTCAGCTGTCATTGGATATTGTAATGTTTACTTATGAGAGATATTTTTGTTGGGAGAAAAATTAAACTCTGAATGATTGTCCAAAAACTAAAATGGTTTTGTTTTGTTTGTTGTCAAAACCCAAACCAATACATTAAATCATTTTTTATTAAACATTTAAATTAAAATAAAAGTCTGTCAACGTGAGGATCATAACCCCAATCTATGAGCAGTATTTTACCTATAAAAAGCCTAGAATGAAGATTGAATGTGTGTTGTAGCAAATATTCAAGTGTGATCAGTCATTGTTTGCAGGTCTGATTTATTGCACATCATGATGGTCTCATAAAACAATTACATTTGATAGTGTTCGGCAGTGGTTAAAAATGCATTTGGACTGCAACCTTTTACTACCCCATTTTGATTAAATATGTTTTTGGACTCACTAAATGTTATCACCAAGTGCAAGTGTTGTGGTATGAAAAAATAATCATGATGCCTTTTTAAAATATAACTGACAGAAAGTGCAACTATCAGCCTAACTTCAATGTCACTTCATTTATAATGTATCCGGGTGTGGATATTAATCCAAACATTATCTGAATATGATAATTAAGTATTTTTAAAATGTCAATGTTTATTTATACAAACGGGGGGTTTGTATAAATAAACATTGATTGATTGATGTCAATTGCTGGTGAGAACAAAATAAGATATTTGAAAACATTTTTTCAGTTATTAAAGACAACTCAATATTTGTAACTTAACAGATGTTTTTTATATATATGATACAATAAATGCATGCATGACAATTAGCTCTGCACCCCTTTTTCAATTGTTGGAGTTAACTTCTGTGACCTTTTTTAACTTCACATCATAACTGTCCTCAAACTGATTCTATACCTTATAATATGGTATTATCCAAATCCCTATGAGATAATGTATCAAGGGAAAAAAAACTATTAGTTTAAGACAACAATCTGATAAAAGCATTTGGACATTGAAAAGCATCCATGCTTACAAATACTAAATTGAGGCTACATGGAGGTTAAAGTTAAAGTCTAACACACTAACTATAGTGTAACTATGTTATTTTGGAGCTTAAACATGTTATTGACTGTAAAACTTAGACCACAGCAATAGGAATGGAACCTGATCCCCTAATCCACCTATGTTCCTACAATCATTGTTGGATTTATATTGCAGGTGAGCAATGCTCTATAGACTTTTGTTCATACTATAAACTATTAGACAAGTATGAGCAATTTAAGAGACAATATACCAGTAAAGTATGATAAGGCAACAAAGTTACACAGTGTGTTGAAGACGTGAGGTTGCCACTACCCTTCATTAGTTCAAATAGAAATAGGATTAAAGGTCTACTTAAAGTCCCTGGTGCCATAGAGGTCAGGGCTTAGTCAGCCTGAGAGTATTCTTGACCCATGGCACAGTTTCAGGCCTTTAGCGATTTGTTAAGCACTACACTCAACCACTGACGTGAAAAACGTAGAATATTAACTAAACCAATAGATATCGCCATGAAACTTTCCCACTGAATTTACATCAAAAAAATCTAATTTAGCTGTGCTCATTTGCATAACATGACATAACAATCTGAACATTGGATAAAGTCAGATTCAAAAGTATTGTTTCATTTAGATGACATCGAGTCAAAGTAGGCTATTCGAAGAGGTAATGTATGATAACTTAACAACAACAAAATAAAAATGGCCATGTGTTTGGGATATTTTGGGAAATCAGCCATGCAAGCCAATAGTACAATTAAAGTAAAATGGGGCATGAAAACGTACCTTCAAACTCTCAAAATTGACCATTGCATGAAACATAAAAAAAACATTAAAGATTGGGTTTATATTGTGTATTTTTAAAACTTGCCTGAGAAACAAAAGCGCGCGCCCATCTTGTCTATTGTGATCATATAATTGAATTCTGCTCAAATGTATAAGATTCCTCCAAGAGCTCGCGGGATTTCAGATGAGACGGGTGGATAAAAAAAGGTGGTTTCCTCCCTGCATCGGGCTGACACACAGCAGAGAGCCGCACAGGTAGCTAGCAGCAGTGCCGTAGGCTCCCGCTAGTCTACCTAGCAACACTTCCCATTACCCAGCTTTACTGTGCGTGGAGCCTCGGTGAATTCAGCCCACATCCTCATATCCTGCTCAGGTCACCTTTAGCGCGCGCCTACCGGCATTTTCTCCCGTCTCCGAAGATGATACCTGGCAAACGAAGAGCTGCAGTCATGTCCTTCTCGCTGGCGATTATCGGAGCCCTGCTGCTGCAGACCGTGTCTTCTCAGAATGGTAAGAAAAACGAGAAAATGCGGGGTTTTTTTAGGGAGGGATTTCGCATGCATTTCTGCAGTGGGACAATTTCTAATGAAGGATTTTCTGAAGAACACTGTCCATCATGGATATCTCACCACCAGCAGCAGTCAGGTTAATTACCTAATCCCTCAACGGGAAATAAACTAATATCAGTCGACGCTGTTTTGGTCTTTGGCGTTTGTAATGAAAGGGTCAATGAATCATTAATGGGATGCAATGTGTATTGGTTGGGCTGAAGTGGGCCATACGCAGGCCCGTGTCCCTAAAATGTCCTCTGAAGTGTGCAGCTGAATACATTCAACCTGCAAGGACAAGTTCTGCTCATTAAGAAGGTGGAAAAGGAAATGGTGTCACTCTGAAGTTCACAATCTGTCATGCCCTCCTTAGAGACACACACACACACACACACACACACACACACACACACACACACACACACACTCTCAACATGCTGTCACTATGGATCTGCTCAGGTATGCTAGGATTCAGTATCCAGCAGTGTATCACTCTCCTACAGGGTGAGATCTCCACTTGCATCAGCTCCTTGTAAATGAGCATAACACGCATGTAATTAGCTGTAGGACTTCAGAAGTGCTGTAAATAGCACCAGTTCATTTTGCTGCATGCTTCTATTTTTAGAGCAAAGATGCTGCACTGGGAACCATGGCTTTAATGTCCTCTTGCAACAGTGGATCTGTTAACTCTTTGCTGAGATGTGCTGCACTGCAGAAAGGCATTGATTTCTCTGAGCGATTCTACTCGCTGAGAAATTGCCCCCCCCTGGTCATAAATCTCACCCCCCACCAGCAAACAGTTTAGGGCAGTGTAAATCCGTCTCAGCTGAGTATTTGGGGGTGGATACTGTAATTATGCACAGTGTATATTTGCCGGCATTGTGTGAGAAGGAGTGTGAGAATTTATTCAGCTCCGGCCTTCCCTGGAGTTGACCATGTAGGAATGCATCTCCTCCTATACTGCACACACCCACTCATTTCATCTCTTCTTTGATCAGCACACTGGCGGATAAAGATCTGCTCAAATATAATGGGTTTTTATCAGGCAGACTGCTAGAAAGTGATATTTTCTCACCTTCTTCACCTGTTTTCATATAATCCACAGAAGCAATATGATACCGCAAATGACACAGTGCATTAATAATCGTATAAGTATATATTAGAGTATAAGGTGAGTCTGGTTAGAGAATATATTAAGGCGTACAGCAGCCAGCCTCATCACAGAAGCCATTTGTATCTGCTAATCGCTTCTGAAGCTATTCCTGCTGATGTTCCCTAAGGATGTGTGTTTCATCTGAAGTAGAGTAGCTTTTACCAAGGACGCTGTACTAGTATCAAACCATTTCCTTGTTGTAATTTATCATACAGAAGTAACAAACTGCTTAAAGTGTAGATCTCAGTTAAAGTTAACTACAATTGATAAATTGCTGGGCAATAAATATTTATTGCCCAGCAATTGATCAATTGTGGAGTTATATATCAATTTTGGAGGTAATAAATATTGTCATATTGGATTTGATGCATATTGCTCAGCATGCGATCAATGCAAGCATAGGATTTTGTTGCTCCAGTAATAATTGATTGATAATCCCAACATATTCATTGATTTCAGTTTTAGGTTTATATTATAAACTGAGGACATGTATCAGTGCAAAGGCCAGAGTTCAGTTATCCTGACAAACTCCTTTTTTCAATTCAAACATTAAACACATATATAATTAAATCATAGAGAATGACAATAAATTGTAATTTTAGTCCCAGATTTGACCTTTGTTAGTACAGTTTACCAAAATGTAGTTTTGTCAGCAGATTGGACACACTGTATAGTAGTGAATGTTTTAAGATGGACTGTGAGTGGAGTGTCTAAATTATCGTCTTTTGTACATTTATAAATAAATAACAAACATACAGCTCATCCACTGAAAAATATAACGTATCCTTGGTCTGAAATGTAAAACGTCCTATTTGTGTATTTTGCAGTAGGGCTACACATATTTATTACATCGGTTATTGATTAATCCAAATGATTGGTCCATTTGATTTATTGAAAATAGTGAACAAATTACTTAAACAATGAATAGATTAACAAAATCGCAGCAGACCCTATTTATGATTTATGAACTAATCGATTGATTGACTGATTTTGTTTTCAGTTCCTATTTGCATTTTTATGATTTTATTTACAATGTATTAACATGTTTAAATCATTTCAATATCTACAATATTATTGACCAGCATTTAAACAATGAATATGTAAGCCATCGCTTTCTGTTGCTTTTCTAATCCCAAGGTGTCTCTGTCCATCAGGGCTCAATGCTGTTCTCACATTTAGCATTCAATTAGCTACTAAATATGAGTTGCACACTTTTTGATGCATAAACTGGAACAGTGTCCAGAAATACTTCATATTACACTGTTTTTTAATGAATTCTTCAGGAGAAACAGAGACAATATCTGACACCTTGCTGTTTACTGTCACTAGGGGCTGGCAGGATGTGGCTCACAGGCTGATTTTGATTGGTCCAGGTGTTACATGAGAGTCTGATTGGATAGAAATACATACAAGGTTATAAATGATAATACAATGGTTTCCTCTCATGGCTTTCCGAAAGGCTAAATACAGTATGTGACTATAAACTACTTTTATGAGATTAACCTTATTCTACAAACTTAATAACGTCATATAAAGAGCTGTTACAATTATACAAATAATTGATTAAACTAATTGAAAACAATTTTGAGAATTGGTTGATCATCAGTTAGTTATCAAGATCTATATGAAGGTTTGCTGTTTTTACCAATTTTGTATTCTTGTTAACTGAATAATTTTTGTCGTCCACACAAAATGGGACATTTCAAGATGCCACGTAGAGCTCTGGGGAATTGATTGTTATAGAAAACAAGACAAAGACACATTTATTCTTATGTCAGAATTGACTAAACGTAATGCACACATTTCCATATGTTCACCTTTAAAACAAACCTATAAACACACTTAAGCATTAGACACAAGAAGAGCATCAGATGAGACCAGCAATTGAAAATGAATTTGAACCAAAGTTCTGACCATGTGAAAAAATTTGGCAATACTGAAAATGAGAATAATGAAAAGAAAAGAGAAATAACTTTAATAACTTTACATTTTGGCGCTGTTTTTTAAAGGCAGTCAGAGCTGTAGCAATAAGAATAATCATTAGACGCAGGGCTAAAGCTAAATGTATTTTGTCTGGAACAAATAATAGTTTAAAAAAAAATCAACTAACAATTAAAATGATCAATTGGTTGCAAAACATTCTGGGGTTAAGAATATGTGGTCAATGCAAGATAAATGAAGGATTTAGAAAAAAAAACACAAAGTAGCGCTCATATTTTATATATACACATAACCTCGTGCCAAAACTAATCTAACGTCAACTCGACATAAGTGACGTCACTCATACATGTACACGACTACTGGCTCAGCACGTTTATACATCTTCACTATTTGCTGTGGCAGGATCTGTCCCTCAGCAGTTCTGTGTTGACAGCTGAGGTGTTAGTTTTCAGTTTTCAAATTGTTTGTTGTTGTATTTTTATTGTTTACATAAGCACTTTGATGCCAGTTTATGAGCTATATCCATCAAAAATGAATGCATTGTAACACAATAATCAATACATCCTCTCTATAACAAGGTGAACATCTTGAAACTGTTGGAGAGTTATTGATTCAACTGTATGTTTATTTTTGAAGCCGCAGTTTGTGGTTTTGTTAAATCTCTTCAGGTGCTTTTCTTATGTTGTCAACCCCATGTATTTCTATAACGCAGTGGTTCTCAAACTTTTTCTGTCAGACCCCCCCTTTGGAGAAAAAAAAAAGTCGGGCCCCCCCAAAACAGATAGTCAGGCTCAGTGGCGGCGCCAGAGATTTCTTTTGGGGGTGCTGTGGGGTAGCTTGAAGTTTCATAGAGGGTGCTCAAACATTTAGGGTTTCCCATCAATGTACCGGTCGCTACAGTGGAATTTTCTACTGCAACACTCCCCATGAATATACACAGTGTACCCGCGACTGTTACAATGAAGGCTTGATAATCAGCTCGTGGCATATAGGTGTAAGCAGGGGTAAAGTGCTATTTTTATAGGTGGTGTGTGGACCTCACATAGGGGGGTCCGGGGGCAAGCTTCCACCCGGGAAGATTTATTTTTAAATATTGAAGTTAAATGCATAAATCTGGTGCACTTTGAGAACAAAATGAAGAGATATGGATACATCTCTCAACACGTAATAGTACTGTGCTGCATCATATTATTTTCGAATCAATAATCTTTGAAATTATGATTTTTTTTTTTTTTTTTTTAATTTAAAAAAAAAAAAATGTTTTAACCATTTTTCCTCCTGGGGCCCTCGCGCCCCCTGGTCATGGCCTCTGCGCGATCCAGGGGGGTGCCCCACTTTGAGAACCATGCTATAGATGGCAGTGTAATTACAGAAACCGAACACCTATCGTAATGGCAATGTAGTACCTTATGAATGTGGGATCGTTATGCTAGAATGCACTCATTCTTTGCTAGGGGTACGTAATAAACAAAGCCGAGCATTTTGGATACATTTGTATAATATGATTTCTGCGCTTATAACTTGCTCAGCCTGCACACCCATTTATTTTTCGCGAAAAACACGCAGAAAACATGGAGAAACGTATATCGTATAAAAAGCCTTTAAAATTTAAGTCATCATTGTCAGCAAACAAAAAAAAAGAAATCTGGATTTAAAACAAACATTTAATGTTGTATATGATTTATTCGGACCTTATATAATATATAATAATAATAATAAGTGACACAGAGGAAATGGTTAAACTTTGAACTCGCCATATTCGCATAACCCATTCAACCTGTTCTCTTCTGGTTTGAATATTTACTTCTTCTCAGTATGGTTCAACAAGGAAACCTTCTGGATGCCATGATAACGTTCTACTATCGTCA